AACTAAATTCTGGAGAAGATACTGAGATTTGGGCATGAATATTCCAAATGAATGTGAAGACTTGTGGACAGATGGACCTTGGAGAACACATTGTTGGTGATTATGTCATCTTGAAATACCAGAATGTAAAGCCAGGAGTGTATGAACTGACTATGGACACTTTACTCTTGGATGATCTTGGATATATTCTTGAAAACAGCAGCATCCTAATCACTTGAGATTAAATTTCATTATTTGGGGTAATAAAAGCAAGTAGGAAGCAGGTACAGTAACTTGATCAAACATGCTGCATGTTTATTCCAGTCTGTGCTGTACAAAATGTACCAAATGGGAATAGCTGACTTTATCATATAGATTTTCTAAATGTGCTTCTAAGGTAGTCCAGGATAGTGCACACTGCAAGAATCAAGGAGGGAGATGGAAAAATGACAGGTGAGCACTGTGAGGTCTGAAACAGTCACAGAACTTGAAAATCCTATGAACCAATGTTGCTCTCAACAAGTCAAACAGAAGAGTATTGTCCTTTACTTTGCTGCAAGTGCATTAGAGCAGGTTTTGGAGCACCTGAGTACATTCTCAGCAAACATAACTCCTGCTCAGCACCCCTTACAGCCAGAAAAATCCTGTCTTGGCAAGGTTGATTTGCTGCTGTTTATCCAGGGCATCCAGGCACAGAAGCATCTTAGGCTTCCCTAAAACAATGAGGAAAGACCAATGACAGCAGTTAGACCTATGTCTTGACATTCACCAGTATCCAGAACCACCAAACCTCACAATTTATAATTTTTCCTAGTGATCATTGTGCCATTGATTTATTTTAATACTTCTTTCTTGTGAATTTATTAACATGCTGAGATGAAATACCATGTTCACATGCAAATTCCCTATGGGGTATGGTGACAACCAGGAGTAGGACATAACAACATACCATGATTAAAAACATTATACCATTAAATATCACTCACTAATACAGAACTGTATGGCTGGAAAACTACTGCTGTCCTTGATGAACTGTCCTAAATGTGTTGTGAGATCATTCTGTGACTGTGACTGCAATCAGATTTTGCAGATTTCCGTAGATGAGAATAAATCATTGACAGTTGAAAGTGTGAATCAAAAGCTGTGCTGGTGATGGTAACATGTGGAGTAATTAAAGCAGACAAAAAGGGAGATTGTTTTTCTGGCAGTTTCATCTCAACACCTTAGGGTGTTAGTGGCTTTGTTCCTCCCTTTAATATTGTTCCATGTGAATGATTTTTTGTTGTTGTTGTTTAATTCTTTTGGCCTAT